TGAGAAAAGAAACAAAGAACGAGAAAAGAAACAAGAAGAGATATTACAGTGGTTGTTGGAAGAAAAGAACAAAGAAGAGATATTACAGCAGTTGTTGGAGGAAAAGAAAAAAAACAAGAAGAGAGACAACACCAGTGATTGGAGGAGAACGAAAATGAACAAGAAAAAAGTCTCCAACAGTTGAGAGAAAGCCAGTATACACAAATGGAAAATATTAGTAAATTTCAAAGTGAATTAAATACATTAAAGGATGATTTACTGTCTTTTACACAGGGAAGATATATTATCCATGGACCTAATCAGCCCCAGACAACAGGAAGCCCCCTCCAAAACCCGCACCTAACCCTCATGCAGACATCTTCAGTCCTGCCAGAAGTCACATTCCAGACATGAGTGTCAGCAATAGGGGTGATCTAGTACAAAGGAAGCCACAGGAATTCGATGGGAAGGCACCGTGGGAAGCATAAAAAGCACAATTTGAGCTCCTGGCAGAAATGAGTGGATGGATAGAGGAGCAGAAAGCAGTGTACTTGGCAACGAGCCTAAAGGGACAACCACTGGAAATACTTGGACAGTTGTTAGTAGACGATAGGCACAACTAGAGAGTACTGGTAGCTGCACTGTAACTCAGGTATGGAAATCAAAACCAGTCCAAAGTCTACAGTGCTAGGTTTAGGATGTGAATACGTGCTCAAGGAGAAAGCCTGCAAGAGCTGGCACTGGATTTGGAAAGTATGGCACACAAGGCTACCCAACTGCACCACCCAATGTCTTCAAGTTGTTGCTGAGGGATCAGTTTGTAGATGTCTTGGACAGTCCACAACTGAAGATACAAGTAATGCACCCCTCTACTATGCAGGATGTAATGGCCAGAGCTCTTGAATTTGAATCATACGTTAAGTCCAGCACAGAAGTACCAAGGTTGGTTCAGTCATCAAAATTCAAGCCAGAAAAAGGCAGCTTTCAGAGAGGTTTGAGGGACTTTTCTGGCACTGTAACAAACCTGGGCACAAGAGAGCTCAATGCTGGCAACTTCGACACATGGAAGATGCCACAGCAGGAAAGGCTGCTACTCAGAAAGGTTGTTAGAACTGTGGAGAGCAAGGACATA